GGGCAGGAATATCTTGGATGGTCCGTTAATAGTTAATGAGATTTGCTCATGGGCAAAGAGAGTAAAAAAGAAGGTGTTATTATTCAAGGTGGATTTCGAAAAGGCCTTCGATTCGATTAATTGGGATTACCTAGACTCTGTAATGTGTCAAATGGGGTTCGGACAAAAATGGCGTGGATGGATTCGAGGCTGTCTCAGCTCATCTCGAGCATCAATTATCATCAACGGTTCCCCCACTAACGAATTCGAAATACAAAGGGGGGTCAGACAAGGGGATCCATTATCCCCATTTCTTTTCATCATAGCTATGGAAGGGTTGAATGTGGCATTAAAGGCATATTGCAATCTTGGAATCTTCTCGGGGTTGAAGATTCCAAATGGTGGTCCGTCCATATCACACTTGCTCTACGCGGACGACGCATTACTTATGGGGGAATGGTCCAAGTCTAATCTTAAAAGTCTTGCCAGAATTCTCAGATGCTTTCATGTATCTTCAGGATTAAAAGTGAACTTTCACAAGTCTAAGGTTTTTGGGCTAGGGGCTTCGGTTAATGAAATAAACATTTGGGCTCGTATTCTTGGCTGTGAGTCAGGTTCCCTTCCATTTAAATACCTAGGGGTTCCAGTCAGGGTGAACATGAATTTGTGTAAGAATTGGAAGCCAATCATTGATAAATTCAATTCCAAGTTGTCTCCATGGAAATCCAAATCCTTATCCTTTGAAGGTCGAGTAACATTAGTCAAAGCTGTCATGGGGAATCTCCCCACATATTACATGTCACTATTTAAAGCCCCCGTGGGTGTAATTCAAACTCTTGAAAAGATTCGCCGTGGATTTCTTTGGGGTGGTGGTAATGATGGCAACTCAAAAATAAGGTGGGTGGCATGGGACAAGGTTGTCGCATCGAAGAAGAAATGTGGGTTGGGAGTTGGATCGTTGCAGTCCCTTAATATTGCCCTATTGACAAAATGGTGGTGGAGGTTACGTATTAATCAGGACTCATTATGGGCTGGTGTTATAATGGGTATTCATCGCTTGTTGAATAAGCCGTCCAATTATTTGTCTTGTAAAAGCAATGTTGGTGTATGGAACAATATTGCTAAAGTAGAAAAAGATATCCAGAAATTTGGATTGCAGGTCAATTGTAACATACACGTTTTGAAATCGTGTTTTAAGTAAATAATATTATGAAATATTATGTGATATTGAGTATTGAGTTCTAACAGATAGTTTTTACTAGAAATGAAGTAAAACTATGTTTAGAATCACTCATAAATTATTGGAAGTCTTATGAGATTCCAATTAAAAGTCAAATAGTGAAATTTAGCGAAAATATAAAATTTGAAATAAGTGAAATTTTATTATATAAAGTTGTAAATAATCTCGTTAGAAACATTTAGGCGAAAACCTCATCGAAATCCGAGTTATAACGAAGAAGTTATGACCAGTCGAAGATCCGCGATAGAACCGGCACGACACCGAATGACGTAAAAAGTGAGTTTTTGATAAACTACTTTTTAGCCTTAGTGATCTAAATGAAAGTCGTAGTATTCGTTAAACCGAGAATTTTAATAAAAAGAACGCCAAAATCTGACTTCGTATGAGGAAGTTATGATTTTTCTAAGTTTCAACTTAGCAGTAGACAACTAAAAACTCGAATTTTAGATCGAGTGATTTTTAGCCGACACAACCTAAACGAGAATCGAAGGTCTCGTCATTAGAAGTACAATGGTAAAAAGTCTGACGAAAACGGACGTCGGATGAACAAGTATGAATTTTTAACGGATTTACCAGTCCCGGTCTGTTAAAAATAATAATATAAAAATATAAAGTCAAAATTTTCCGACGAAGTCTAAACGAAAGTTGTAGAGTATAATTTTCCCTACGCGTGCATATAAAGAACGTCAAAAACGAAGCTCGTATGAGAAAGTTATGGATTTTACAAGATTGGGCACAATTTTCGAGAATTTTCGCATGAATAGTGCCAGCCACGTCACCCTCGCTCTGAGCTGGCCATGTATCCGAAGCAGCTGTGTGGTGCGTCTGAGAAGCGACGTGTGTCGCACAGGTGTCCGAAGTCGATCACGTGATCCTCGCATGCATCCCTCGTGCCCGACCCGCGTGCCGTTTTCCTGATTCGACCGAGGATGCTGGCCCGATCCGAAGCGAGTAGCTGCGTCATCCGACCAATCTGAAGCGCACACCTGTTCTGACCCTCGCATCTGAGCCTCGCCCAAGCAGCCACCTGGTCCGAGCCTCGCAGACACCTGCCCTCTTCCCTTCGCTTCGGATCCGGACCTCCCTACTATAAATAGTAGCTGCGAGATCTCCCGGGTAAACTTTAGAAATTTGCCCTTTTTCACCCTTTTTCCACATTTTCACTACTTTGACATCCCTCGAAGCCCCGATATTAATTCCAACGCCCGAAACACGCCCTGAAATTCCCAAGAAGCCCGAAAAATTTATCTTTTCGGTTTCGAAGCCCAACCCTCGCAGGGCCTGATTTTCAACGAAGAAAGCTAATTATAGTAACGAAGTGCTGCCCAAATTACTATTTTAACCCCCGGTTATTTCACGGTGAGTTTAATATATAGGAACAATTGTATGTTATGTGTTATATGTGCTACGTGCTTTTCAGTGTTATTATTCCGGTTTATTTTCCCGTGTTATTTTTATTCGTTATTTTTAATAGCAAAGGAAATACCTTTGACCATGTGATCAGTGAAAGGACTTAGATTCATATTGGTACTGGTATGTAGCCTCTGGCCATGTAGTACATGTCTCCATAAGAGAATGATTTCTATTCTATGGTATTGGTAGAAGGTTAGACAGGGCTATAAGCCTGAAATCTACCAAAAGGTTAATCCGAAGTTGTATGTCTTATGTGCCATTTGGGCCAAAGCTTTATTGATGTATATCAAGTATGGAAATTGTTATGTGTCAATGATTGTATATCTTTGAATCAAATCAATGATTGATATGGAAAGTTTGTCACATGATTCACATATGCCTTTGTTGTTCCTTGATCCTCTTTGCCTCTGCCATATTGAAGTATATATATGGCATAACGTTATATTGTATCTATGATTGAACTCACTAAGCGTCACCGCTTACCCCTCTCAATGTTTAACTAATTTACAGGAGATAAACATCCAGTATAGTTATATACTGATAGAAGATTTTTGAATAGTTTGAAACTATTGTATTGATAGAAGATTTTCGAATAGTTTGAAACTATTGTATTTTGCACTCCCATATGTATAAAACTATAGAATCCTGGGAAGTTATGTAATATATATAACACTTTGAAATAGTTGGTTTGTATCCAGTAGTTTGTAATCACTTTATCAATATAAAATATTGTTTTTATGAATATGCATGTAGCATGTTTCGAAGTAACAATTGTCATGTATGAAAGTGTGGGTCTTTCATCAATGATGTAACAAAAAAGGTGGTCAGATCGGGGAATAACACTCTCTTCTGGCTAGATGAATGGATCGATGGGATGCCACTTAAGAGGCGTTTTTCTGAATTATATCAGCTGGAGTGCACTAAAAAGTGTAAAGTGGCGGATCGGATAACCTCAAACGGATTTGAATGGAACTGGAGTGTAGACATTGATGTCATGGGATTAACCCTCTTTTATCCCAACTCATTTCTGTGATTGCTTCATTCTCCCCTAACAGCTTGGACGACTCATAGACCTGCAATCTGGCCTCAGATGGTAAATTTTCAACTAATCTCATCAGATCCAAGCTGGATCTATACTCCTCCTGCCCTTTAAGCCCCAAAGTTTTCTGGTTGAAAATGGTCCCGATAAAAGTGACTTGTTTCATATGGAGAGCTATTATTGGTCGTATTCCCTCGACAATGGTCTTGAAATCAAGGGGAGTTCCTATCGAATCTGATGTATGTGGCTATTGCAATGTAACTGTTGAGGATTCGGATCACATTCTAGTTGGGTGTCAGGCTGCTAGCATCACTCGTAAATGGATTCTACAATGGTGTGGGATTAATGATCGACAGTTTGCACGAACAGGAGAATTCCTCGACTTTGCTGGCACTTGGGGACATTGTCCCAAAAAGCGAAAAGTTTTTTTGGCTATCTGTTATGGCACGCTATGGTGTATCTGGAGGAGTCGGAACGAAAGGATATTCCAAAATACCAAGGTTTCTCCAACTATAGTTGCTGATAATATAATAGCTATGGTATTTCTTTGGTGTAAACATAGGGGGCTAAGAAAGATATCAGGTGGGTGGATTTGGTAGTCTCTCCTTTTTTATGTTTGTAATTGTTTGAACTCTTATGTATGCTTTCTTTTCCGCTCGCCTAGCATCTTGCTAGGCTGAGCTTTTTTAATCTATTTGCCGTTTCTAAAAAAAAACAATAAATTGTCAAGAACATCAATTTGTTCCATAAATTAACAAAAATATCTAGTAACAAGTTGAAACATGATTTTGTAAGTTTGCAAAATCTACTTTAATATAATGAGAAGTTGAGAACATACGAGTTCGTTACTTAAATAAATTGTTAACTCTTAATACAAATACTTAACTAATTAGTATTTAAATAGTTTTAATCATAATCTAAGAAAAACTTTCGAATAATTTCACAAACGTTTTCTAAGATTAACAATAAACACAGGTTAATTTTATTATGAATCTTTTAAAGTTGAAAATTTTATATTATTTTAAAACTAAATGTCGCCTTTTCTGCTTTTTTGAACCGGCGAATTTTATTAAAGAGAAAATGTTGCCTTTTTAGCATAGAGAAATATTAGTTTTGCGTATTTAATGTTTTGTTTATTAATTAAATATCCGCCTTGAGAAAATATTAAAGAAAAATACATAATAAAGTTTGCAACAATAATATTGGGCGAATCATATAAACATAAATATCAAGGACCACTATATTTATAAGATATTTAGTTGTCTAAAATTTTGCACAATACAATGTTTCTTCTTATATGTTATTTCCTCAAAACTGATCATTTGTTTGTTATGAAAAGCCCATGAGAATTTCGTCAACAGCCCATCTTGAAAACATTATATCTGGTTTTTTTTTTCATACAAACAAACAAACCTTTACTTTTAGGAAAATACAAACATGATTAATTTAACAAAAATAGGAAATATACATACAGAACACACAAATCATTGTGTTAAAGAAACTCATTTACATAAAATGAAAATTACAAAATATGATAACATGTTTTAGTCAACTTCTCATTTTTATGTAACTACCAAGACTTTGCGATCAAGACTGTGTTTGACGCGCATAAGCTAATTTATTTTTTGAGTTTACAGCAATGTAATTTTCGGTGAAACCACTAAAATAGCTTATTCGGCTATAAGTATATCTTATTGATAAACTCATTGAGCTTTTTCCATAAGTTTTTCCGTATATACCCTTATATGCTAGTTTTTTAATTATATATCTGAATGTCCTTTTATATTATTGTACACTTGTCATCTAGCTTATCAATTACTTTTTTTTACCAAAGGCTGTTATTTATCGGTTAGTTTATCAACCAAAAATTAGCTTTTTAGCTAATCTGTCAAACACAACCTAAGAAACAAAAACATGTGATATCCGATATGGATGATTAAAAACTTTCCATCTTTATTAATCTAAAAATCTTGAATTCCTTAACGACTACCTTCATCTAACATTAAACATTTTGAAAATAAACAAAGACCTATGGGATTCAAGGATGATTTATACCTTGATTATTCATCAGTTAATTAGGTTTCTTCATTGGCATTTCATGGTTATGTTTACCTTCATAAGTTGTAATAAAAACATTTGGATCATCTGATGCTCTTTCCACATGTTTCCTCACATCGCACTTAACTCCTGTGCATCTATAATAACTTCTGCACAATATCTTCTCATATTAGACTTAATATCCAAATTTTAAATATAACAAATATATTTTTTTTAATATAATATGATTAGTATTTATTTAACCTGGGATAAGGATTGCCCTTCACAACTTTCTGCCCATATTTTCTCCATCTAAAACCATCAGCAATTGCCTCTGAATCAATCCCATCATGAACACCAACTCCACCCTCTTTTAAACCTTCTCCATATCTTTCACTTATAATTTTCCTGCAAAACACAAACTTTAAACTTGAATACACCAACATGAATGATCATATGATCTTGACTTAGACCAAATTGTTACCTTCTTTTACTTGTGATGGGTTCAAGAGTTGGCATACAACTAGCATCAAATTCTTCATGGACTTTGACCAAATTGGTCAAACGTGAAGATGATCCAACAACTTCATTCAACTTATTATCATTCTTGAGTTGATTACTTGGCAATTGAGAGCTTGAATCTTTGATAGTTCCATCAAAAGCATGGCGCCTAGGAAGCCTGGGCTTTGTATGATTATGTTCACCTTTATAAACAGTTTCAGCTATTTCACCATTTATTGATCTTTCAACCTTCTTTTTCACCACACAATTCGGGTGTGTGCACTTGTAGTAACTTCTTGGAAACTCGCTTCCTTTGACTTGCTTTTGACCATATTTCCTCCAATTATATCCATCATAAGAAGGTCGATCTGAGTTGTTTGTGTGTGACTGCAATCTTTTATCATCTGACTTCACAGGTGTTGGTTTTGGGGGATTCATTGATTCAAGATTTTGAGTTGCTGCTTGTTCATGGCTTGTATCACAAGTTCCCTACATTAAAAAGAGAGATGATTTAGATAACTATAACTATGAATCATACATTTCAGACTTTCAGTTAGTTTTAGATAAATACTGACCATGTTTGCCAAGAGACTAATGGTTGTTCTTGATACTGTCTTTGCCAAGGGTTTATATAGCAATGGAGATGTGTGATCTGATTTCAAGATCTCAACATTTGGAGAGCTCATAACAGGCTTGAACCTCACTGTTTTTGGTCTGATGGCAGTGACTGTGGGTTCTGTTGAGGGTGAAATGTTATTGGCACCAGGAAGGAGGTCAGAGAAGGATCCAAAGTTGGAAATGGTAGGCCTTGAAGCAACTGGTTTTGCTATAATTGTCCTTTTCGCCTCTTTAACCTCCATTTTTCCTTTCCTAATGAATGTAATCAGTGTTTCTTGATCAGATTAGAAAAACCATATTGGAATCTCACCATCTCCTGGTGTTTGTTGCCTCTAGTTTTTCAAATGTTTCCCTATCAATAAACGACCAAAATGCACAAAGTTTGAGTATCGAAACTTGATCAAAGTTACATTTTCAAGTACAAAAATCGATAGAATAGAGTAAATCTAACAGAGTTTCTATTTACAGACGGAGTATATAATATAGTATCCGTTCACATTCATCTGCGACCACAGAAAGCAGAAACAGATGAAGGAAAAGTAACAAGAAATTTCACGTAACTAATAATTCGCTCACTACATGAATACGAACAGTAATTAATATGCGCACATAATTCTAGCTTTACATTATAACATAAGCATCTCGCATCTAATCTCGAAACTTATATTACATTTTCGCAACGAAGAAACAGAGGAATTAGGGCTTTTGTTATCGAGACGCAATTTCACATTGATAAATTTATGCAGTTGAAAAAACTTAACAGAAATAAGGTTGGGGATTATGAAGAATAGTGTATACCTTTGTTGTTGAGAGAATTTGTGGGTTCCAAAATCTGAAAAAGATGTGAAGATGAGCTTCTTTTAGGTTTTGATTGAAGGGGAGAATTGAGAAGAGGCCAGTTGTTTGTTGGTACGACAGTGTGTCAAGCCAACTAACCGTCGTTTCAGCTACCTGTCTTCGTTTCTATTCTGCAAAGATATGAAGAAGCCACTGCCACGTCAATCGTTTCAGTTGTTAATGATAATAATAATTTATTTTAATTACGATTTATTTAAATTTTAAGAGAATAATAAAATTGAGAGAACATGGGTTTTGAAAAGGATACAAAATTGTGTCTTCATCTTTGATTTTGATAGATATCACAATTTGGTCCGAGTCATCTTCTTGACGTGACATATATGGATGGTATAGTTGGAAGGGTAATTCCAAAGACACGAACTCAATTCCAAATACACGAATGAGTTGATTGAATGATAAATGTCATTTACTAAACTTAGCCATTTTTAAGTATATTATATTAAATTTGTCTTATATTAAATTTGTTACCTGGTTATGCAAATTCATGAAATGTACTCTTCAATTTACATTAAATATCGTTACATTTATATTTGATTTTCAAATAAAACTTTATACTTTTTAAAACTTTAGTTTATATATATATATATATATATATATATATATATATATATATATATATATGGAAAAATTCAATAGAGAACCATAATTATTGGTTCTTCAAGAAACCAAATCTTTTTTTCAATTTCTAGAGTTTATTCTTTATCGAAAAAAAAAATCTAAAAATATCTAAATTCATATATTAACATTGTGAATGTGAAAAATATTTTTCGGATTCACCGTGTGAATCCGGATTCACGTTGTGAATTTTCAAAGATTCACATTGTGAATTTGACGTAAAAAAAAAATAAAAATAAAAATCAAATTTCATATCAGTGGAAAAATGATAAAAAGTTATGAATTTCTGTATTTTTAGTTTTTTTTTTTTTTTGATAAAAAATAAGTTGTGAAAGTTGAAAAAAAGATTGGTTCCTTGGTTAATTATGGTTCTCTATTGAACCTCACCCTATATATATTATATATATATATATATATATATATATATATACAAAATAATTATTGTGTTATTGTATGCATAAATGTGGGTCAATCATTTTACTTATTTTAAAAAAGTGATTAATACATATTATTTAATTAAATATAATTGAAAAATACCATCTAATTTAACTAGAAGGGTATTTTAGTTAGTTAACCTAGATTTAATAAAGGAAATTTGCATATTTTAAGGGATCAAAGATTCTATTAATTTTAAAAATCCGATTTTACAAATTATAAGGTTTTTAGTTCGGAATCGGTGGAACGAGGGGTTTGTTCAATTTAGGGTTTTCAGAATCGGTTTTTAGATAAAGAGGGGAACGGGATTTAAACTGGATAGATACCATGATTATATGAATTATTTTTGGAAGTTATTAAACAAATGACTAACTTACCCTTATTTATTTATTTTATTATTTAATTTTGATTGGCCCACATTGATGCATACAATAACACAATACTTAGTTAAAACACCTAAACCTCTCTCTCTCTCTCTCTCTCTCTCTCTCTCTATATATATATATATATATATATATATTATATATATATATATATATATATATATATATATATATATTATCACATAATGATCACCTCCAACAAGAGCAATAATAACCGCTCTATGAGTTGAGATGTTTTGGAGACCAAGCCAAAGTGGAAAACATGTTGAACCATCTTTGCTTGAGATGTCTTGGTAGTTCTCGGAATGAGTACATGATGTGCCTATCCGATATGAGTTTTTCAGAAAAGTTTCTTCTGTAAGGAGCGGCGCCTACGAGCAGCTTTGTGAGTAGCAGGTTCACAAACCGAAGTTGTTGACGGCGTGATTAAGTTTAGTAACATTCTTGCTAAACTTAACTTTTTTTCGTAATGAGCATTAAACAAATTTACCTCAACATCACAACCCAAATCGTCATCTTTACATTCTAATAAATCAAGTTTTTTCTAAAATTTATCGTCTAAATGAAGCGGTACACAATGAGCTTTTTTTCACAAATATATCTTGTTTATATTTGTCCATTTATAAAATTAAAGAATATGAATTCTATTTCTTTTTATATTAATTTTAACTAAGCCTAAAAAGTAAAATATGATGATGCTAAAAATTCTTTATGGATGATAGAAACTGTATATTAATGAATATGAATGGATTTTTTTTTCATCAATTTTAACAAAGCCTAACAGATAAAACAAGATTTATGGTGGTGTTTTAACGACAGATTAATGTGCGTTGCTAATACGACAAAAATTTACAAAGGTATATATATATATATATATATATCTATATATATATATATATATATATATATATATATATATATATATATATATCAAGGAGGTAGTTTTACGTTACGGTGTACCAGTTTCTGTGGTTTCCGACATGGATATACGAATTTAGATAATATTAACGGAAACTCGACTAACAAGATCTAGATTCGTAGCCATCGTTACGGAATACTCGACTAACAAGATCTAAATTCGACTAACATGATGGTGGTGCTCAGCAACCGGAAAAACAGGAATATTACGTTACAGAATACTCGACTACCAAGATCTAAATTCGTATGTATATATATATATATATATATATTATATATATCTTTTTATTTGGAATTTTAACGAGATCTTAACGAGGAGTTCATTATTAAGAACATAAATATATTTTTTTTACCTATATATTTCAAATCAATAATTAATTATTAGAGTATAATATAAAAATTAGAAAAAAGATATATTTTCAAACTTACATCTAAGTTGAAGGGAGTAAAATAAAAAAACATAAAGGAAATTGAAAATCCTCATTCAAAGTAACGGAAGATGATGGGACGGAGACTTTGTTGTTCCCAAAGCTCATTTACACGATTTTATTCGTGTATATAGGATGTTACTTCTTTAAAAAGTAAATGATGTGACAAATATATCAACACCTGTCTTTAAAAAGTAAATGATGTGACAAATAATTTATTTTTCGTTTTGATGTTACTTCTTTTTTTGTCTATAATAATAAGTATTACACATTTTATTTAGTTAGTTGGAGTTGGACATCTTTCTAAAAATCAAGTATATCAAGAAAAAATAGTTATTTTTGCGTTCATAAATTTTGGTCTAGATGGATGGTGTTTTCTGCAATTATTATACCCTTTATTTGTATTTTTAAGCTTATTTTCAAGTAAATTGTGAGTAGCTGCTACTAACTCTGTTTTGGAGATACAAGTCCTAGAATGTTTATATGGAAGAAAAAACGTTCAAATATGTCGTCATTTAAACTGTTTGTAATTTTTATTCATATTAATGAGATTTGCAATGAATTTTAATCCGTTATTATTCAAGTTTTCAGTTAATATGACATTGAATTGTATCCAACCACCTTCTAAATTTTTTGAAATTCATTCATATGGGACCAACATCATTCATGTTGCATATCACGTGTATGATGACAATGATGGTGACGAATTGATTATGTGTTCATGCATTCATTAAATGGGTTATGGGATACATAGATCTAATATGTAGAAGCAAATAATATAATAGGAAGTGATTCATACATAACAGTTTTTTTCCAAAAAAAACAATTTATGTTTTAGATATTGGTTATGTGGGTTTGTAGATCTTGGTTATGTGGGTTTGTAAAACTTATGTTTTACAAAATTGTACAATAAATCATAAGGTTATGTGGGTTTGTAGATCTTGGTTTGGTGTTGGTTTTTGAAGATTTGGGTTTTGGTGGACGAAAAGGTGGTCTGACTTTGTTTCTGTGGTCAAGTTTAGGTTTGCTAATCTGGGTTTGGTGTGTTCATGGTGGGTTGGAGGAACATGTCTGAAAATCGTTTCTATTTGTGTTTTTGGAATAGATCAGAAAATCGATTTTGTGTATGTACGTGTGTCCTTGAAAATCAATTTGTGTTCATCGCCAGATTTTAAGACCAATCTCTCTAACCCACACAAACACCAACACTTGGTGTTCATCATGTTTACTAGTGAAGAACAAATTTGGATGACTTTATTGCCGATTTCCTACGTGGTTGCACGTGGCCATATTTATTGCCACAAAAGCATTGTTTCAGATTTTCAATAATAGCTTCATTGACATCGTTTTTAAAAGTTTAATGACCTGCCTAAGAAAATGACTTGACCAATTCGGGACAAAACACAGATACTTTTCCTTTTTCTAAAGTGGATTTGCAATTTAGAACAGTATGACTATAGAGTGGATTGTGACAGTAAAAGTCATAGAGTGATCTGTATTTTAAATGTGTAATCAATTTCCTATTTTCAAAAAAACTTGCAAAGTGTATTAGCCTACTTTTGAAATGACAAAAAACACAAAAGTATTAATAGAAACGGATCACAAGTATTAAAACTAAGATGACATTAACATAGTTATAAGCAAGTAGATTTTTCAAAATAAAAAGTAGGATGTTATAATAGATAAATCAATGAGAGTACATTGCTATTTCCCTCAAGAATACTAAACTTGCCATATACATATATATATATTAAATCATACACATAGCAGTAAATCTGCAAACCAAGTTATAAATGTTTATTATGTTTTTAAGTTTCTAAGTATTTAACATACACCAAACAACCTGATAACTAGCCATCAGCAGCATTAGTGGAGCTGTCGCGACTTTTTCCCTTCACAAATTGTCCTCGTACACGTGGCCTTTGCTCCGCAATCTCTTTCTGTTTTGATATCTCACCTGGAAAAAAATAAATAAATAAAAAATAAAAAATGATTTTATGATTAGGGAAATGTTGAATTTATTTGATTATGCAAAATGAATTACCTTCTTCTGAAAGCATCTGAGTTCTCTTTTTTGGCGAAACTTAGTCAAGGCTGCTTTTCTCTGTGCAGACATGTCATTGTCATTGTCATTGTGATGATCTGTTATTTTATTTTTGTCACCTAAACAAACATCATTTTCTAATTTTGCAACTTCAGAAATCACAGCATTTGGCACGTTGCTTCCATGTCTGCTGCCTGATGCACTTTTGTTTAAACTGTAATTTGGTAGGTTAGCTTCTGCTTCTGCTTCTGCTTTACCATTACCACCACCCATGATATTTGATGATCCACAATGTGGGGCATCTGCAGCCAATTGTGTTAGACCAAAATCATCATCATCATCATCATCATCATCATCATCCTCATCATCATCATTTGACATTGGCAATGGATCATCTGTTTCTATGTTATGGTAATGATGGACATGGTGATGATGATGGATGTGAAGCTCTTGATCATGGACCACATTGCCAGGTGTCATGTCATTTGGTATCACTTGCTGAACAGAGTGAAATTTATATCAGTTTCAGATAGTTTGTTGCTAATAGATGTCACTAAACCCCCCCCCCCCCCCCCCCCCCCCCCCTTTTTTTTTTAAATTTACGAACCTCACTTGAGCCTTGATAAATAAGATATCCTTCTGAATGCACATCACGTTTGGATTCTTTCTTCACGATGTTGGATCTATTATCAGGTTGAGAACAGCTAGCAATGATTCCAGGAGTACACTTTATAGCATTTGAGGTTGTTTTATACCTGTAACATATTCCGTAGCTTATTACTCATATCTTATCAAATTACAATACTGCCCTTTTCTTAGGTTTTGACCTTGTGAAGGCTGAAAGCTCTGAATGTTGCAATATACTGCAGCCGCCATTTTGAACTTCTTCCTCGTCACTGTTAGATGGAGGACGTGCCCTTTTTGTGCCAAGCTCTTCAATTTCTACTCCATTGGAATCATGGATTCCGTTGGCATTCATAATCTTTTCACTTTTCCCATTTTCCATGCTTATTGCAATCTCTTTGCCATTTTCATCGTTATCTGAGAAACAAGAAACTTGTCATGGAAATACTAAAAATGTATCAACTTCATATGAATACCTGTATAGGGTTGTGGTTTGTGATTATTATTGGTGTCCCTTATTGGTTGAGTTTGTAGAGAACGGATAACTATGCCACAAGTGCTGTCTGGATGCTCAGATATTTGGTTGGATGGAATTGCTGATTCCGGGATTTCACGTTCAATAGCATGTTTTGTCCAAGAACTCTGCATCTCATGTCTAAATTAATCTTTCTGAATTTATTAAGAAAAAAAAAAAAAAAGTTGCAATAATTACCTGAGTGCCACTACCATCATCACTACCACCACTGGCACTGGTGTTCTCATTGTCATCCCCATCTTTGCTACTGTTATCGTACCTTACATTGCTTTTTGAGTTTACAGATTTTTGAGCCTGTGTACCACTTTCGCTTCCACTACCACTTGACTGATGGAAACAAAAAAATATATTTCCAATAAATTGAAATAATCATATGATTAAACATAAACTTGGTATAAACGACTTACACTGTGACACCTCCTCCATACGTGTTGCCAAAGGTTTTTAAGCTCATTTTTCCGAATAGGCTTCACTAAAAAGTCTACTGCACCTTTTGATAAACACTTAAAAACCAAACCCATTGAATCATGAGAAGACATCACTGCACACAATCTCATTATGCATGGTGGTTAATACCGTCAATGTGGTAAAAAGCTTTTGAAAGACAGACAAATTTTGCTGCTAATTTTGTTTTATAGAAAGGATAACATAAGTACTTACTGATCACAGGGATATTCTTGCGTGTCTTGTGGCTCATAATCTTGCATAAAAGACCGATTCCTGAAAGACAAGGCATGACTACTTCAGTTAAAACAATGTCAATGTGATTGGATAGATTTTCCAAGATCTTCCAGGCTTGAAGTCCATTGCCTGCTTGAATAACTGCCAAAAAATAGAAAGAAAAAAAAAGATAGAAAATGAGTTAGATACTTATTATATGGAACAAATGGTTAACATTGTGAGTTGTGACTAACCTTCATAATTACAGTTGCGAAGCAATGCAGTTACAATGTGACGTGTACAATCATCATCTTCAACCAACATGACCTTAATGGATCTAACATGTAGAAACCTCTCCCAGTGGACCAATGACCCTTGAAGCTGTTGTGGAGGTGCTTGAGGAGGGGCATTGGGATTCACTTCCACTGCTACCTGATTGCATCTATCCTGAACATTTTCATCAATTCTACTAGTTCTTGACTCATCATCTCCCTGTGAACCTGGTCCTATACTCAAAAATCTATTCACATCTCCCTGATACTCAGTTTTCACACAATTATTCACCTGTTGACCCTTGCTCCCTCCTTGGCTGTTGCTCATTAAAACACTTCCTGCTAATGATATTCAAAAACATCAATGATGAGAAAGGTTGGAGAACTATCTTGATACTTGTCAAACCTTCTTAATGCAAGAAAATATGCAGCACATAGCTGACACATCAAGTTATTGAATCCCTTCAAAGGTCAAATACAAAACCTTCTGCCCTAAATCAAAAGCAGATACCCAACGAAAGAATATCAAACTAACAACACCATGGACATAGCTTATGATCAAGGAATATACCAAAACTGAGCCATAACTCTTCTATACCTGCAAGAGTGAATTCCTATACGCACTATTTATCCCTGTTACAAACAACAAAACACCAGATTAGCCAACTTTACCAAATACTCGTTCACTGGCAAATACAGATACACTTTGATGTTTGATGTAAACTACGCTACTTTTCAACTCAAATTGTAATACAAATCTTAAGCTTTTAACAATACAATTACGAGATTGATAGACCAAAAACTAGCAGAATCCATATGAAGTTTTCCACTTGAAAACATGACCATATTGGATAACCACTCCAATCGAAACTACAAAAGCAAGAGAAACTCGACAAATTCTCTTAATCGGACATATTTTACTAGTTAAGTGTTAATAGCTGCAGATATTTAGCGAATCGAAGCTAATCTTCAACTAAAATTAAACATACAGGTAAAAAACAAGTGCTTAAGAGTTACCGTAAAACAAGTGCTAAACGAATCGAATTCCCTATAACTCAAGATCCAGAGCAACCAGAATTACAATAACAAAACAAAATTAGCAAGTTAAAAAATAGGGTTTCGAAATAGGAATACAAAGAAAAAATCTGGTTAGGCGAAATGAGATTGACTGGTTTAGAAATCAGAGGGACTGATGACTTGAATTTGGATAAATCCAAGGACTGCCTAAAAAGATTTTATGAGATCCTACATGTCAAATTACGTGGACAAAGTTTAGGTTCATGGGGATACACGTCCGATCTGTGATGTAGGTGGACAGGTTGTGTGGTGACGTGGAAGGTGAGTTGGACTAAAACCGAAACGGAAAATGGAGCGGTCCAAATGGATTCGAACCAAATTTCATGGGGTTGAATAGTGGTGACACGTAGCCGTCGCTTGGCTCTAAAAAGATCTTCGCTGATTGGAAACTTTGCAGTACGTATAAAAATCACCCCCCTCAACTTTAGACTCTTCTCATCTTGCCACCCTATATTTTGAAGCATGAGTTTCATCTCGGAGAAGGAAGCATAAATTAATATTTTAAAATCTAAATTTCTTTTTAGTTTAGAAAACAATTATCAAACATATAATAATTAAATATAATAGTGGGACTGATATTGACATGAATTTGTTATTCCAAACTTTTGTTAGCCTTGTTTTAACCATGTATCTTTATAGTTTTGTGTGAAAGTTTATATTATAATGTGTATTTGAATAGACAAAATAACTTATAAAAGTGATTATCTTTGTCGTTTTGTTTACGTTTAAACAATTTTGTTTTTACACATTTGATCATTTAATTTTTTAAATGTGTTCGCATGTCGCCGGCGACAATGGTAATATGTAAACACATTTAACAAGTTAAATGGTTAAATGAGTACAAAAAACAGAAATTTTCTAAATGTGAACAAAACGAAAAGTTAATTACCCTCATAAATTATTTTCCTCACTTTTAATAGCGATTTTATTTTTCATATTTGTTTGTATTATTTTTTCAAACGTTATTTTTAAAGTATTCATAGTGATTGATTATTTATCACGTTTATAGCCTTTTTGATTTGACAAATCAATTTTCTACTGATTTATTTTTAGTAAAAGTTTATTATCATAAATATTAATTAAATATTGATCAATTCTAAACTTTATTTTTTAATTAATAAATATGTTTGTTTGTGACATATTTTATATAGCCTAATATATTTTTATTTTGTTTTTTAAAAAAATATGGAGGGTTTTTTAAAAAAAAGAAAAAGAAAACATTGCGTAGCAAATAAAAAAACAAAAAAAATCTATATAATGTAAATGTTTTAAAATTATTATAACTTTTTTATACTTTTTAGTTAGAACTTTATGTTTTTTAATTCTTTTAATACAACATTCTAAACTAGTATTTAACGAAAGTTTAGAAATAATTGTATGGAAGTTATAAAAAATTGTATGATAATGTAAAAAAAATTAAAAACTTGTAAGGAAAATTTAAAACATTTAGAAAATATTTGGGTTGAAAGCACTTGTATGAAAATTATATGAAAGTATAAAATAAAGTTAAAAAAAATATAAGCAAAGTCTAAAACATTATATTAAAAAACCTATAAGGAAAAAAATATCATATAAATATTGTAAGAAATCATAAAAAGTCTTAAGAAATTTGTAAAAAAAAATGTTCACATTTAGGCAACTTACTTTTTTTAGTACACAATTGACCATTTAACTTGTTAAATGTGTTCACGTGTTACCATTGTCACCTGGGATAGAAGGTGACAATGGTAATATGTGAACAAATGTAACAAGTTAAATCGTCAAATGTATACAAAAAAAAGTTGTCTAAATGTGAACAAGACGAAAATGTAATTACCCTCACGAGTCATTTTTCCCATTTGAATATCCATCTATTGGTTATCTGAAACTAACCCTTTCGGAACTCAACAACAGGCTGGATTAAGGTGTATCCTCAACATTCTCAAAGTTGGTATAAGTTAAAACCTCATACCATTATAGCACATCAATGAGGTCACCTAGCAACCAAATACTCGGTCGAGGTCGAATAATAAAAGGTAACAATATGGGTCAATGCTTAAAGATTACATAGATTGTAGGTGTATAATAGACAATGATAAGGTCTCACAACGACCAAGGTTTAATGGTATCCTTGAACCATAAAAGAGCAAGATATTACTCTTGAATATGCAAAGCCTCCAAGTTGAACACATAATCCATTATTAAAACAAACTAAAGCCAAAAGGCCACATTTTAAGCATAGTTCATTGAGGAAATTTTTTTCAAACGCTTTTGTTCGTATAAATGGAATTTAGTATTGAGTAGAAGTAAGAAAACATTTTGTAGGTATAAAAAACAAATGATGTAACATCTTTAACTTGAAAAGAATCACAACACTTACAACTACGTGAGGTGTGATCGACTGATTAAGAAAATGCAAACATTTTGTTTATGTTGGTGTAGTTGGTGTATAATGCTTCAATGTACCAATTATATCGTGCACACGAGGTTACCGCTTTAATGGCAATTCTTAAGGAGGTGGTGGTGATTGTGTAACACCCGGAAACCAGAAAGCCAATTAAGGAAAGAAGACCTCCAATCAAGAAGGCAACTCGTCGAGTTCAAGGGTGAGAACTCGACGAGTAGGAATGTTGTCACGCGTGTTTTTGGAAGACCAACTCAACGAGTTGGAGGGGACCAACTCGACTAGTTGGACGGGGTTTGGGAAACCCTAGATCCGGGATTTTGCACCTTATTTAAACACTTTATGACTTAGGGTTTGGCCTCATTTCCATCCTCCATTGTCTAAACCTTGGATCTCAAAACCCTAATGCTATTGTGAGCTATTTTGAGTGTTCTTGTGGGTTCTTGAAGTTCTTGGAAGGAAGGAAAGCTTGAAGGAACAAGGAAGAGTTGCTAGATCCAAAAACCTCACTCCATTTTCGTCACTTACTGGTAATCAAGTCTCAAACTTGACAAGTAGTTGAGTAGATCTCCTTCTTAGCACTTTTATGTGGTTTTTGGTCCAAATGATATGACTCTTGGGATTTGGACGTCCCAAGTGAAGAACACTTCAGATCTAGTGTCTAGAGGGGCTCTCATGGCATAAAGGTGCCAACTTTATGGCCATGGAAGTCCCATGCAACCTCTAAGCCTCTATTTTGGCCTTTCTAGCTCCAAAGGGCCATGCATGTGGATAAAGCTTGAAGATTTACCTGATCTTCTTGTCCCTAGAGTTCGGATCTATGATCCCATGGTTCATCTTGTAGTTTTGGAGATGTTTGGATTAACACCTTGGCCTTTTGGGTTAGGGTTTGAGCTTAATCCATTTAGGAAAGGTACTAATGGGTAAAGTTGGAAGCTTTTCCAGTCTGGATTCGGAGTATAGAGTGTAGATCTAAAGAATAAAGGCTTAATGCATTAAGAAAGGCTAACAAACTGAAGAACTCGACGAGTTAATAGAGGAACTCGACGAGTTGGGTCGAGGAATCCCGATTATGTTAAAAGGGAAAAACTCGACGAGTTCATGGAAGAACTCAACAATTTGGATCGCGATTTCACAGATCCATGATTCATGGGAACTCGACGAGTTGAAGGGTAACTCGACGAGTCGAGTCAACGGGGAGCGTTGACTTTGACTTCGACTTGGGTGTTGATTTTGACCTTGACTTTGACTTTGACCAAGGTTGACCCTGGAGGGTTATGAAGTTTGGACAAGGGTATGTGAGGGGTAGAATGGTCTTTTACCCCAGTGAAGACTTATGGCTAAGTTATGAGAATGCCGAACTTAATTAGTTTATATGATGACTAGCAGCTCGGGGAACCGAAGGATCGACAGTTCGGGGAATTGCTAGCTAGCAGCCAGGGGTTTATCCGTGAGATTCAACTTTGAAAGGTGAGTTTCCCTTTGTGTGAACGGATCTAAGGCACCAATGTTGACCCGTATATGTATGCATGTATGATTGTATGTTTCGGACTACGGTCCGATGTCGGGTGGGGCGCGAGGAATGTTACGTATGTTTCCGGACTACGGTCCGATGTCGGGCGGTGCCCGAGGAAGGTGTGCATGTTTAGTTATACTTGTTGTTTTTTTGATACTCGTATGTGCCTGGTAGGGAGGTGAGTGTGGGTGGGGTCTCGTATCTCATCCCTAGTCGAGTGTGGACGGGGTTCCATATCTCATCATTAGCGAGTAGGGGCGGGGCCCATGATAGGCGAGGCCTTAGGACTGGAGCATGTAGTACTGTGTATGATTCTTTATGTGTTAGTATGATTATATGATATTGTTTGTATGGGTATAGCGGGCGGGGCCCGGAGACAGGCGGGACCTGGAAGAAATAGATTTGTATATCGAGCGGGGCTCGATGCCAGGCGGGGGCCTAGTATATGTGATTATGTGTATAGTATGTGGTAGGTTGGGGATCTCACTAAGCTTCGTGCTTACGGTTTTCAGTTTTGGTTTCAAGTACCTCCAGTTGCAAGGAGAAGAGCTCGAGATGACTGCATTGCACACACCATGATTTCAACCTTGGATGTTTTACTCTGATATATTGACATGTGTTTTGATATGATACTATGATTTGATACTACGGTTTATGATTTTGTGATGGAACGATTTTGATACCTATGGTTTATTTAATAAATAAAAACGAAGTTTTTTGTCATGCTTTTTTTGGGATGTTACAGATTGGATGGTCGTCAACAAAGAAAATGAGTAATAGAGACATTGGTCTTCCACACAATTGTTCTTTCTCCTTCCCCGTCTGAAAATAATCCAACTATTTAAAAGTTAATGATCAAATATAAAAAGAAATTGAACCAATTTGCATTTAGGCAAATGTTAGATAGCGTCAACTTGTGGTACGTCTTTAAGGGGGAGGCGCTTGCATAGTAGTGTTTTTCAAAAAATTTTGCACCAAATTGAAAGAAAATTAAGTATCGGTGGCGATCGACAATGAATGTTCTCGTGTATGTGTGGGATATATGAGAGAATGGTGGTTGGTTTTAAGTGAAATAGGGAACGTGGGCAGGAAGGTGGAGACATAAGCAAGAAAGGTGAAGCTCAGAGAAGTTACATGTAGAAGAGAGATGCTGCTAAAATAAGATAAAACAAAATCCAAGAAACTAGAAAATAGGTAATTAAGACGATCTATTATGACCTGACGGCTACTTCCCAGATCGTTACTTTATTCATATTGAACATACATGTCTAACTGGTTACCCTCATATACATAAAAAAATTTAAAAAAAAAATTGAGAACATAAAATAAAAGACGATTTATGGCATTTGGTAATTCGGTTTTAAAATGTAACACCGTAAATTTTCAATCAAAATTTTCAATTTAATTTCACATAATTCTCATAACACATTACACAAAAATCTCATTTATTTAATTTACAAAACGCAACTCCATAATTGTTTGATTAATAACTCAGGATCCTCAAACATGACTCTTTCTCTGGTGTGTACAATTGGACCGGCGCCCTCCCGCGATCCTGAGAAGAACCTGAAACA